TGTGTGTGTGTGTGTGTGTGTGTGTGTGTGTGTGTGTGTGTGTGTGTCGCGCGCGCGCCCTGCAACAGACTGGCTTCCCCAGCCTTGTGCACTGTTTCCTGGGATAATCTCCAGGCTGATAGCAACCCTGGATTCGATAAGCAGTTATGGAAGATGTGGTGGGTTGTAATCATCCATCCAATCAGGCTCATGCTTTACAGGTAGTACAAGTACAACTCAAACCCTATCAGAGAGTAACACATAAAGAACGTGACTCCAGCGCTTACTGAGGTTTTGGGAGGCTTGCTTTAAGGGCGATGCTTATGAGGAGTTTGTTGGATTGAGGCTTTTTTAAAATATATATTTCTTCAAAGGATGTGTCTTTAAACATGATTCAGGGTCTCTGCGGTAAGACAGCAGCACCGTGAGGCATTCCAAGTGTGGGCACCAAGACACTTGTGAATCTTGCATCCCAATGTAGTTCTGAGATGCCTGTGTGTAGAACCAATGCAGTAAGACGACATCAGCATTCACCCAGAAAACGCCCATCTGGTACAAATGGTGCTTCTCAAACTGGTGGTTTATCTCTTCATTTGTCATCTTTTTTTCCAGACCTTTATGTCTGTTTTTCTCCTTTGTTTTGCCCCCCCCCTTTTTTTGTAGGAAGTCCCATCCTGAGCTGCGCAGCCGGTTGGAGGACCTTCAGAAGCACCTGCTGGAGAGCTCCAATGACATGGCACCACTGAAAGTGTGGGAGCTGCAGGGTAATGTCACCCCTGTCCTCTACCACCATTTTGGGGACCTTGTATTCTTTATTGCAGGGTTCCCCAATTCCATTCCTGGAGGGCCAGTCTGTGTCACAGTTTGTAGATTTCCCTGCTGAAACACACCTACTAAACCTGTTAATTTGCTGGCGATCTGATTAAGGCATGTTTGGGCAGGGAAACCTGCAATCTGTGTTCCAGACTATCCCTCCAGGACCAGAATTGGGGGACCCTGCTTTATGGTGTCGGCATGCTGGCCCATTAATTAGTACATACAATAACATATCACAGAATATATGGTTTCCCATTATGGAGGGCCAGTAGCAGTGTTAGGGTCTTAGACTGTCACACAGTTTTATTTCTAACTCCCTCCCCTCCAGACCTGAGTTTCCAGGCTGCATCACGGATCATGTCAGTCCCAAAGTTTGACTCCCTGAAGCTAATGAAAGACCTCAGCCAGAACTTCCCCACCAAAGCCAGGTGAGGTTCAGGGTCCCAGGTTCCTAAAACGATGCCCTGGTCACCAGTTTGGAGCCACCCACCCCCCTGATGTGTGCTTTTCAGTGACTTTCATATTGTTTATTTATCTTTATGGCCAAAATGAGAAATGCCTCCCCCAGAACTGCCTACTGTCATCCTCAAATGTATGACCCAGTGGAAGTTTGGGGAAATGAATGCCAGGTCTCAGTGCCCTGGTCCAGGCTGCTGAATAAGCTGATGGCAGTGCTGTGCTCTCATTGCAGGTCGCTGACGCGGGTGCCGGTAAACCTGGAAATGAGGCGGGAGATTGAGGACAATCAGAAGGTGAGAATCCATCTGTTCATTTATCTCTGTATGCTGGTGATGGACAAAGTGACACTTCATGAACCATTTGCTGTATTTTTTCACCCCATTAGATGGTTCTCTCAGTTTGCTTGGAGCAGGCTTTGTCCCCTTTCTTCAAGAGAGAACACCATCTAGTGGTGTCAAAAAATACAGCAAATGGTTCATGAAGCATTGTTTTGTCCATCACCACTGCATGCATTTATTTATTTGAAATGTTGTGTCAGCCATGGAGCTGCTTAATGGGGTCTGAGGAGAGCTTTTCCGGTGTCCTGGGCCCCACTGCCTCTTACCAGGGTAACTTAGGATGGCAAGCTTGGTGTATTAAGGGATTCCAAAGGTGCATGATTGGCCCCTTTTGGTAGCTTTTATCCGTGGGCCCCACGGATGCTTGGAGAGTCTCAGATGTCACGTTCTATGTTAGTGTGGGTTTCCTCAGACTGGCCCGGTTTTCATCTGGAGCTGTAACGCGATTGGTGACTGTGTTTATGTGTGTGCCCTGATCGGCGCCCCTTACAGGACTTAACCTCGTGCACTTTGCTTCCTGAGATGGAGTCTATGTCACCACAATGTAGGTCAGTCAAGTTTTTATTAAGTGCACATAGATAGGTGTCCTGCTTCCTTAGCTGTTTTGAGGCAATAGCAGCAATGCACCAACGAGCAATGCATTAGTATCTTGCACTCGCTGTTTTCTCTCTCTCTTTCTCTCTGCCCTTTTTGCTCTGCGGAGGAAACGATGGAGCATCTGTTTTTGAGGTGTAATCGGCTTTATGAGTTGTTTGCGGTTCTGGAGGAGTGGTGTGTCGGTTTTGGGGAGGTTTTTTCTGTTCAGCTTTTCATTTATGGACCGAAATACTGTAGTTCCCAGAAGGCTAAGGTGTGTCTGCTGAACTTCGTGCTGGGCCAGGCTAAGATGAGTATCTGGCTGTCCCGGAGGAATAGGATGAAGGGGGCAGGATCGACGAATCCTGGCCTCATGATGAAGGGCTTGGTGGCAGCACGCATAAAAATAGAACATGCTTTTTTCGGATTGACTCACAACCTTGTGACTTTTTCGGAGGTGTGGGGTTATGGTGGGGTTCTGTGTGACTTGACCCATGATGGGGACTTACTCTTGAAGTTTTAGTATTGTTGATGGTGTCGATTGTTTGACCCGCCATATGTTTTTTTTGGGGCCCATTGTATTGTTTGTGTTTCTATGTTGGTTGCCCTGGCTAATTTCTTTTGTTTTTTTTCTTTTGGTTGATTGTTTAATTTTGTTTTCGGTTTGATTGAGTTTGTAATAACGACCCATTTTGTGATTTGAAGTCGCAGTAAGGTTTTTTTTCTGTTGTTGACTGACTAAATAAAGGCTGGTGCAAAGTCTCTCTCTCTCTCTCTCTCTCTCTCTCTCTCTCCTTGTCTCCCTCTCTCTCTATCTCTATAACTGACAATTCATTTCTGAGTTGTCAACACCAGCCTTTTGCTGGAATCCACAGACGGGGTCAGACTTGCAGTCCAGCTGGTGATGGCCCTAATGCAGAGCATAAATCCAGTTTATGGCGACATTCACTTCCAAATCAGACAGTGGCAGGCAGGATTATGACAGTGGTGACCAGTCTTGTGGGTTTATTTCTGATTGGTAGGAGCTTAGTATTGTTAGGGACTGATCCTTCTGGTAAATAAATAAGGATTTGGGTCAGTAGAATTTTATTACGGTTAAACTGGAATTTGTTTTTTGCTGTCATTCATGATTGATGTACTGAGATGGGGGTGTGAAATGCACAGGGGGTTAAGAAACCATAAGGAGAATTTAAGGCTGCTTTCATCTGAAACCTCGGGTGGACTTTGGATCATTAGCCTGGCAATCATACTATTCAGGGTCGTCGTCATATTCTACTCCATAATGCCTTAAACCTCTTTGATTTGCATTTGACATTGATGAATATTGCATTTTGGTGATGGTGTTGTTCTGGATTTTTCTGATTCTCCATTATAGTGATGATAATATTTTGGTCCAATGAATATTCTGTTAGTTACAAACCTATTCCTAGTAGCCATGCTTGTTGGGAACATTCCATTTCCGAGTGAGGTCACTCAGACTGTAACACACGAGGTCTTTTCCAGGTTCTCAGTGAAACATTGGCCGTCAGCCCAGGAGAGGCTGCCCTGTTCATCAATGGCCTTCACATCGATCTGGATGTCCACAACCACTTCAGGTAGAACCCCGAAAAGCGATGTGCTGTGCCCCTCAGAACCACTTTTTGAGGCCCTGTTGACTGATCTTCTGTCTGTCATGGGCTCAGCCATAGTCTGTCTTTCGCAGCATCCTGGACACCATCTGGGCAGAAGGCAAAGTCCTGGAGGGGCTCCACAACCTGGGAATTGAACAGGGAGAACAGGTCAAGTTTCTTCGCTTGCCCGTGCACCCCCTGGATGACAGCTACGCTATTGACATTCGTCATTCCGCCATAATGGTTGGTATCTTTTGGGTTGTAGTTAACATTTGATTAGCCAGTAACCCACTTCTTCAGTGTGGAAAACTTTGATGTTTTCCTCAAGAGTGGGGAGCTTGGAAGGAACGATACTTGCTCAAGGTCACAAAAAAAATTAACCCCTTAATTGTCATTCTTGCTGTTGGCGAGGCTATAGCAGGTCCTGCCTTCTCAGCGAAGGCTGTCCTACTGCAGGTCACTACAGAAAAATGTGGCGCGTACGCCGCATGTGACTCATACGTCACGTGTGGCTGATACTCCACGTGTCCTACTAATATCATGGCCTTGTAACTTTGCTATTAGAAACTTTTCCCAAAGAGATGTTTCAGTGAAGCTGCATTCCTTACTAAAGGCTCTGCGGCCAGGTCCTCCTCCAGGAAGCCCCAGTCTTTCTCTGATGTGGAACCTGTGGCTCCTCCCCTTTTGCAGAACAGTGGCACTGGCCTAAGAGGTTGAATCAGTTTTTGAGTTACCCTTCTCCCACTCTACACCAAGGCACAACCATTAATTCATGTTTTAAATCTTGTATCCCGATAATCCCACTAAAGGCGGTGAATTGATGTGTGTATTGTCAATGGAGATTGCGGTCGTTGGGGTACTGATGATGATTTTGATTATCATGGTTTTGCATTTGTCATTGGAACAGTTAAGCTGGATAACTAGGCTGCTTCTTACAGTTGAAGGGCATTGTCGGAAACTTCAAGTTGCACCATTGTGTTAATTACGTATTTTGTGTTCAGTACTGTAATGACTGATGAGAGATTTAGAGACCACTAATGCCTCAAACTCTGCTTTATCCAGTGCTGCATAAGTCAGAGATGTGTGATCATTTGGTGCCACCTTGTTTCCTCATGTCCAGTGGGTCAATGACATCGAGATGGACCTCATGTATCACAGCTGGCCCTCCAGCTGCCAGGAGCTGCTCCGGACCACCTTCCCTGGAGTCATCAGGCAGATACGACGCAACTTCTTCAACCTGGTGAGCCCTGGCAGAGTGACCGAAGTAGTGGAATATGCCAAGAGAAAACATGAGTGCATCTTAGCCTGGCATGGACGGTTGAAATAGTGGGATGAATGTAGATAACTCTTCAGCTGTTGGCCCCAGCCGTTGTTGTGGATTACTCTTTCCCTCTCTACTCCCCACTCAGGTGCTATTTCTGGACCCATCTCAGGAGGGCAGTGCAGAGCTGGTAAAGCTGGCCCAGCTGTTCTACACACATAAGATCCCTCTCAGGTAGGTGCTCTGTGGCATCTGTGCCCCTGGTTCTCATGATGTTATTGCTGGTGGTTGGTAGTAGTTGGCTGGTTGGACACAGCAACAAACTCTTCAGGCCCACCCCAGTTTTCTAATGTGTAGCTCTCTCCTGCTCCCTCCAAGGATAGGGTTTGTGTTCGTGGTCAACTCTGACGACCGGGTGGACGGCCTCTCCGATGCAGGCGTGGGCTTCGTCAGACTGCTGAACTATGTGGCGGGGGAGTATGATCACGCCCAGGCCTTCTCTGTCATGGTGTCTGTGAGTGACCTTTCTTTTTAGCTTGCATGTGCTCTGTACTTATCAAATTATTTATCCTTGTTGGTGTATAATTCAGCCCAAGGTGAATGACCCCTTCCCCATTGCTCGTAGTTCTCCTGGGATGTCTGATTTGGGCACTGTGGGCTCTAGGGCGGTCCCTTGGAGGATAGGAGAAGCACAGGCTCTCCCCACTGACCTGTTCTTGCAATGACAGATGTATAAGAAAGTGGCCGAGGGTGAAGCTCTGTCCGCTGCTGATGTGGCCTCCTACCTGAAGAAGAAGTTCCCCAAAGCTAGTGCAGCCAAGGTCCTAGGCATAGACACTATGTATGACGACAGAAGGAAGGTGAGATCATGATGTTGGCTGGCTTAATACAGTGTTTAGTGTGCGCTATAAACCTGCCCTCCCCTCGGTGTCTCCTGCCTTATGACACTGCTTAGCGTGGGCTATAAACCTGCCCTCCCCTTGGTGTCTCCTACCTTATGACACTGCTTAGCGTGGGCTATAAATGTGCCCTCCCCTCGGTGTCTCCTGCCTTATGACACTGCTTAGTGTGGGCTATAAACCTGCCCTCCCCTTGGTGTCTCCTGCCTTATGACACTGCTTAGCGTGGGCTATAAACCTGCCCTCCCCTTGGTGTCCCGTACCTTATGACACTCCTTAGCGTAGGCTATAAACCTGCCCTCCCCTTGGTGTCTCCTGCCTTATGACACTCCTTAACGTGGGCTATAAACCTGCCCTCCCCTTGGTGTCTCCTGCCTTATGACACTGCTTAACGTGGGCTATAAACCTGCCCTCCCCTTGGTGTCCCGTACCTTATGACACTGCTTAGCGTGGGCTATAAACCTGCCCTCCCCTTGGTGTCTCCTACCTTATGACACTCCTTAGCGTGGGCTATAAACCTGCCCTCCCCTTAATGTCTCCTGCCTTATGACACTCCTTAGCGTGGGCTATAAACCTGCCCTCCCCTTGGTGTCTCCTGCCTTATGACACTGCTTAGCGTGGACTATAAACCTGCCCTCCCCTCGATGTCTCGTACCTTATGACACTGCTTAGTCTGGGCTATAAACGTGCCCTCCCCTCGGTGTCTCCTGCCTTATGACGATGTTTACGACCTGTTGTAGGGAGAGTCATGTTTCACACTGACCCGCAATGAGGTGGGAAGTGGCGTTAGTGCAGGAGTGTCGCTCCAAACGGCTGAGAGGAGAGACCCCTGGCCTTCCACGTGGTGACAGGACATCCTGGCCAGTAATTCACAGAAGTGCATGTCGGTCCAGGCTGGTGGAGTGTTCTACAGGAAGACGGGACTGAGCACCCTGCCCATGGCTCTATTCAACGGCGTGCCCCTCAACAGAGAGGAGATGGACCCCGAAGAGCTGGAGACGGTGCTTCTGCAGCGCATCATGGACAGCACCAGCTTTTTTCAGAGGGCTGTCCTCGTGGTAGGGCTACCTGCCAAACCCCTGGGTGTGCAAGTCTCTGTGGCTTTGTGGGATTGCGTGACCTCAGTGGGAATGTGCCACCAGGGCCAGCTGAGCGACGACATGGACGTGGTGGAGCTCCTCATGGGCCAGACCAACGTGGTACCCCGCATCAACCCTGTTGTCCTAAGTCCACAGCGGCAGTACCTGGACTTCACTTCCTCTCCAGGTAGGAAGAAGGTGCTGTTCATGCCCTAACAGGCATTTTAACAAGGTTGGAATGTCTCCTAAATTGTATTCTGGTGGCAGAGATGTATAATTACAATTAATCAATGTAATGTCAGTCTCAATGCCGAGATTTTGCTTATTGCCCCTCCCCCTGACTCCTAGTTGTTGAAGACTGGGAAGATACAAACACGTTCTCATATCTGGACTCCAGGGATAAGACTTCTGTGGTCTCCAGAAGACTGAAGTACTTAACCAAAGCCGGTAAACATTGTCCTTTTACTCTCCTTAAATGTGGGAGGAGTATTGGGATATACTGAAATACATCGTAGATTTGATGCATTTGTAGACACCCCCCCCGCATGCCCAGTGTATTATGGGTCTTGTGTGGATGGAAACATAGCGACACAGTTAAAGGCCCACTGGACACCCCACGGGTCTCATAATCGAACGTCATCTCTCCACAGACGATGATACAATCCATGGTGTGACTGTCTGGGTCGTTGCAGACTTCGATACTCTGCAGGGTCGCCAGCTGCTACAGAATGCCATCAAACATATGGTGAGCTGCCCTGGGGCCACTTTTTAACCGAAAAAATGACATCTGGGGCTATCAGGACCTCTGTTGGAGGTGCAGAAGCTGGTAGGAGACTGGGGGACACGTGGTTTCTGCCCCACCCTTTTATGCATTTATCCCTCACGGTGGGGGTGGGGCTTAAATTCTACTGTTAGCATGCTGTTGAAATTACACAGCAAACTTTAAAAATAGATGGGGTTCAGGGCATCAACAGAATCATTATATCTGTCCTAATTAGCTATTTCTAATACAGTGATACATCAGAATGACATGGGGAGAACATGCAAACTCCACACACATGTGACCCAGGCGGAGAACCCAGGTCCCAGAGGTGCGAGGCAACAGTGTCAACCACTGCACCACCATGCCGCCCTCCCCTCTGTATTTCGTCCGCGTTTAAGTTTGTTTCCCCAGCCCGGTCATTGTATTGTCCTTCTGTGTTTTGCCTGCCTTACCTGTAACTAAACCCCATATTCCCCGATACCCTGAACTCTGCGTCTCCATTCCATCCCCGCTCGGCACGACAATATTATTATAATTAAATCTATACATTTTTTATTATTAATATTAAAAGAATTAATAAGAAATCTTTATTTTTAAATGTATTTTATTATATAATAATAATAATTACTGTTACTGTCTCACTGTCTATCACTGTCTAAATGTATTTTTACTGTCTAAATATATGTATTCAGCTAGTGTAAACATGCACGCTGCTATCACAGCGAATGCGAGGCTGAGACTTAAGCGTTACCCTATGTTTCCGCTGAGAGACATACCGCGTGACTCATTTCCCCGCGTGCACAAGTTATCTAAGGTCGGCGTTCACGGTTTGACTTCTGAGATTCAGATCGAGTTTGAGGTAAATTTTTTTCTAACTGGTTGGTTCGACTTTTAAGAAATTCGAGTTCTAATGAATTCGAGAACTGAGGTACCACTGTATTACTGTTAGCTGCTATTTCACATACTTGTTTTTAAAGTAGAATTACACCAACCTTCAGTTCCCAGCAGCCATTTCTCTACCATACGCTGAGAACTGCAGCAGTACTTTGAGAGAATTTCCAGGAAAGTCTCTTTCCATTAGAAAGACTGAAAGGCATTGGCTAGTACAGGCACCAATTTGCTGTTTAAATTGTTAAACTGTGTGATGAGGTGATAACATAAATCCGCTAGTGTCTTTCCACGTGTCACACAAAGTCTGACATCCAGGTTCCCACAGCCAGGTTATGAGGTTTGTCTTCTTAGGCTTAAGGCTCAGGTATGTAAGTTGTGTATTATAAAGGCTCACTTGTGTAAGTTACTGCATAGATCATTAACACCACCAGTGCAATCCATGACACATTTCTCCAGTGAAGCAGAAAGTCATTGGTTCTGGCACAGAACATGTAGCTGACGAGACGGGTCGGTTGAGTTTGGCAAGGGGCTTGTTGGGTGATGTCCCATGCCATGACGATGAGAGATACAACTGATCTGATACCCAGTATCATAATCTGCCCAATACTGGCAAAAAATGTTGGATCAGATATGGTCCAGATTGAAGGGTGCGTGTTAATCTTGCTTTCTAGTATACCCCTTAGTATTGATAATGTTGGATACAGTTACCGCGATGGAATTAAAAAAAAAATTTTGAACGGAAGTTCAACAAGTGGTGCTAAAGTAGCATGGGCTTCATGCAGCTGTCAGATCACACACTAGATAGGTAATTTGTCTAAGGCATTGTCTTTGAAACAGCAATCCATGTGGACGTGTAAATTCAAATATTCAAAAATCTGCTAAATCTGCCACTTTATATGCTCGTAATGTTCGAGAATGGGATATTAAATTAAAAGTCCATTGTCCTTCTGTTTTGAGTGAAGTTTCTTGGTAAGAGGATTTCTCATAAAGTAGGCACCCATGTCTTGATCACCAGATGTAAAATTTGATTTATTATTCACACAGTATTTGTTAGAGCATTTTTAATACAAGTCAAAAGCACAGAATATGTAGTTACTGTAGTGTAAGTTCATGGGTATTCATTCTGGTAAAGTATATCTCTGTCTTCCAGTTTGGTTTGAAATTTGGCTTGAAGTGATCGGTATCGGCAGATACTCAAAATTTCAATATCAGGATCGGACCAGGAAAAATGATACAGGGCCATCTCTAATGACACCCCTTCCCACCTCGTCTTCACTTGCAGAAGTCCAGCACCAACATGCGAGTTGGAGTCCTCAGTAACCCCAGTTCCAAAGTGACCGAGGACAACACACCCATCTCCCGGGCCATCTGGGCATCTCTGCACACGCAGAGGAGCAGGGAAACCCTGAGCTTTGTGCAGAAGATCATCAAGCATGAGAATGCCCATTTGTTGGAGCAGGGAACCAAGATGAAATATTTACTGATGCAGGTGCCTCAGACCATTAGCATAAGGCTCTATAAAGCCAAACTTTGGTAAACAAACTAATGTAACACAGGCAATAGTCAATAATGGTGTTTGCGGAAATGCCCAAGAGCAGGGCAGTGTTCCATGAAGTATGATTTCTGTTGTCTGGGTTAACTTAAGTCATGGTTGTCCAATAAGAGCTTAGGTAAGGAACATTCCTATTGGACAGCCATGAATTCTATCTTAAGTTAACCCAGCTAACTGAGAAATCCTGCTTCGTGGAACACACCCCAGGCTTTTTTTTATTGCGTCAGCTTAAATGTGTAAGGTTGAAGTCCAGAGTACAAAGTAGGGTGGCATGTGTGGAGATCTGAGATGAAATACATTCTGAAATATGCCAACATAAGTAATGCAGGTGTTCCCTGGGTTGGTAGACTAGAGTGTTGGAGAAATCAATAGTCTGACTGCATGTGGCAGAGCTTCCCAGACTTGTACGGTGTTTCTTTCAGGAGGCTGGTTTAAATGAAAGTGGTAGTTAGGGGGCCAGTAATTAACAATGGTGAATGAATTCTGTGTAACTTCACAGACTGTGACGCCCCCTATCTCACCACAGACACACGCATAGGATGTTTTTGTTTAATGGATGAAATCCATTTATACTTTGTAGTGTTTGTCTGGGCAAATTGAAGATCAGAGAGGCTCCTCCCATTTGGGGAAGCCTCTGGAAGCTCAGAGTATGCTAACCATACGCTAAAACTGTCTGCCACCACGGCTGCAGGGGATGGACGCCGACGCCTTTGAGAAGAAGTACAACACACTGGGGGTGGAGTTCCTGCAAAGCCAGCGGCTCTTCTGTCGGGACGTGCTGAAGCTGGCGGCAGGACAGCGGGCCGTGATAGCCAATGGCAGGGTAAGTGGATGATTGTCTGAAGCTGGGGGTGGGACAGCGGGCCGTGATAGCCAATGGCAGGTTAAGTGGATGATTGTCTGAAGCTGGGGGTGGGACAGCGGGCCGTGATAGCCAATGGCAGGGTAAGTGGGTAATTGTCTGAAGCTGGGGGTGGGACAGCCGACAGTAATAGCTATTTGCAGGCTAAGCGGGTGATTGTCTGAAGCTGAGGGTGGTAACACTCAGAGGGGTCAGCATGAGAGATACTTATGTGCTTGGCGTCCCTGCTAGATCATCGGGCTGTCAGAGGAGATAGAGTTTGACACTGACGACTTCCACCTGCTGGAAAAGATCACTCTGAGCATGTCGGCCGAGAAGATCAAAGCCAGAATCAAGCAGATGGGGCTGAAAGCCAAAGTGTATGTTCACATCCACATCCCCCCATCTATTTCTCTCTATGAAAACTAAAATATACAGCTGGTGTTGTGTGAAGGCTGCAGGATAATTTGGGTGGGTGGATGGATATGGATGGATTGATGGATGAATGGGCAGTGTGTGATCATTTGAAATGTTGTCAGCCAAAATAAAAATGTCTTGCTTACTCTCTATCTGATCTTTTCCCTTCCCACCTGCAGGGCCAGTGACTTGATCATGAAGGTGGACTCCCTGCTCATATCAGCTCCCAAGACAGAGTCCAGAAGAGAGGTCGGATTCTCCAAGGACAAGCTCAGGTTGGTGAGAAAGTTCTGCAAGTGAAGGGGTCCTCCTGAAGCCCCACTAATGTTCCCAGAGAGCCATAACTCCTTTCATTGCCCATCTGGTGAGCTGCTGCCTTTTTTGTGGTTTCTTTCTGTGTCACTGGTGCTGAGATTTCTCTCCTATCGCTTTTCTGTCATGTGTGCCGCCCTCAGTGTGCTCCAGCTGTCCCCCCGTGAGGGCCAAGTGTTTTATGATGTGGTGGCGATCGTGGACCCTCTCACCAGGGAAGCCCAGAAGATGTCTTCTCTCTTGATTGTAAGAGTCCTGTCATTGTCATTTGTGTTTATCTGGTGTGATCATGTGAGGTTTTTTCTATTTGCTGAAGATACCTTTGGGAAAATGAACTGTGATATGCAAGAATGAGGAGACTGTACATGTGTCAAGAGCAGGTCTTTATAGGCAGATACTGTTGGTAATAAATGATAAATATTTAAATGTTAAATGCATTTCTGCCTCCTTCTGTCCCCAGGTGCTGGACAAGGTGATCAACATGAAGCTCCAGGTCTTCATGAACTGCAGAGCCAAGCTCTCAGAGATGCCCTTGAAGAGGTAAGCCTTGGACTCCTCCAGTCGCCTTTGTGAACTGCCCAGTAACACAGAGTTCGGAAGCTAGAGAAATCTAAGGTCAATTGTGCAGTTCATCCTGCGTAAGAATGTGAGCTGTGTTTGAAGGAGAAACTGTGTTTTATTATTCTTTTGGGCTGAAGGCAAGACTGCTGGTAATCTAAGCTTGAGAAAGTTCAGTGAAATTACGTGGAAATGGCTGCTTTCTAACAGACTGCAAATTAGTTTCAGGGTTGAAGGCTCCCCTGCCTCATGGCTATTTTAGGGGCCAAAAAAAGGCTGCGTTTGTTATTCAGCTAGTCAGTAAACAACCATTTATTTGTTTTATGGGTTATGATTTTTCCGCATCCCACGTTTTCTGATCACCAGCAGCTGAATTGTTCCCCTGAACAGCCTGTACTTCTCTTCCTGCTCTGGGGCACTGACAGCCTCACAGCCAGAGCTACTGGCATCCAGGCTTTTGTTAAACTTTTTAGCCGTTCATTCTGCTGGTGACTAGACCACACAGCAACATTTAGACAGTTTCTTGGAGCTGATTAATTTCATTCTCTAGCTTTATTGTGTAATGCAGCCTCTTGAAAAAGTATCAGTGTCCCTGGATTAGATTTTAGCCAGGAGATGAGTTTGGTACTGGTTTTATTACATATTGAAATTCAGCTGGGTTTCATATTTTAGGTAGTGCTGAGTATTTAAAAAATGTCCCTGCAAATGAGTTCCGGCTACAGATTTATTCAGGACAGATTTTTGTGTTTGCAGCGTGGTATTTAACTGTATAGCTATGCAGTGACCACTGGATTAGACCATCTAATATATAATAGCACTTGTGTTTTCCCTCTGCTCTCCATCCCCCATCCCAGCTTCTACCGCTATGTCCTGGAGCCGGACGTGTCCTTCGAGGCCAATGACACGGTGTCCCCAGGGCCAATGGCACGCTTCACTGAGATGCCGGAGTCCCCGCTCCTCACACTGAACATGATCACCCCCGACAACTGGATGGTGGAGCCTATCCGCAGCCCCTATGACCTGGACAACATTCATCTTCAGGAGGTACACCCCCAACCCTCCTTTGGGCACAGGTAGCTCCTCCCCCTGCCACAGGGGGGTGGGTCACATGACATTGTTTACTATAAGCTAATTTTTTGTGGAGGAATATAAGGGTATCTGGTAGTATTTTTTATTTTCAAAATAAAAAAAAAAAAAATCAGTTAGGGAAAAGAAGTTGAATAACTGTAATAATAATGTCTTATATTTTGTTTTATATCAAAATGTTTTGTTTTATAGCAGGACTGTGTGCGTGTTTAGTTACTGTATGACATGCGGCATTGGTATGTTCATAACGAGCCAGTTGCCGACTAGATGAGCGATCCAGCCTGTGTCAATCTGATCCCAGGCCAGTGGCATGGTGTCTGCCGAGTACGAGTTGGAGTACCTGCTCCTAGAGGGGCACTGCTTCGACCAGTCAACCGGGCAGCCCCCCCGGGGCCTGCAGTTCACCCTGGGCATGAGCCGTGACCCACTAATGCAGGACACCATCGTCATGGCCAACCTGGTGAGCCTCGTCCACTCAGAAATGAGCCAGCCTTTGTGTGCAGGTTGTCTGAGGACATATTCACCACTTTGAGGCTCTCATCACGCCATCAGTAAGCTTGGTACCCAAGACCCACACTTTTGTGGGCACATGACTCTGCTGGCTCTCTATCTCTTTATGTATACGACAGGGCTACTTCCAGCTAAAGGCTAATCCGGGAGCCTGGATCTTAAAACTGCGCAAGGGGAGGTCTGAGGAGATCTACCAGATCCTTTCGTGAGTGTCTCCTCCCTGCTTCGCTGGCATTGTGTCCATACTGTAGTCCTGTGTTTGGATTCTTCTCTTACCCCTCAGATTTGGTTGCAGTGCTTTGGCAAGAGAGACATCGCCCTCTGCTGTCGCTACAGCTGCTAAATGCAGCTTGATTGTGGTGAGGGCAGCGTCACTATGGACACTGCCTATCACAAAGTCTCAGATTTATTTATCATTTTTGTTTGTTGGTTTGTCTGTTTATTATTTTCTTGTCGTGGTTTGAGAGCTAGAGGCTGAGTGGTGGGTGAAGGGGCCAGGAAAGGATGCTGTAGTTTTGTATGGACGTGATTTACGCCACCCAGTGGTTAGGCCTGGGAGGTGAAAACATAGTTCTGCTGTTCCCGGTATCACAGTCATCGGTCAGCCGCGCGGTCAGCCATGCCATCCCAGTATCACGCTCATCGGTCAGCCATGCCATCCCGGTATCACCGTCATTGGTCAGCCACATGGTCAGCCACGCCGTCCCGGTATCACGCTCCTCGGTCAGCCACGCCGTCCCGGTATCACGCTCCTCGGTCAGCCACGCCATCCCGGTATCACGCTCCTCGGTCAGCCACGCCGTCCCAGTATCACGCTCCTTGGTCAGCCACGCCGTCCCAGTATCACGCTCTTCGGTCAGCCACGCCGTCCCGGTATCACGCTCCTCGGTCAGCCACGCCGTCTCGGTCACCCTCTCTGTTTCTTCCTCTGTTCCAGCCATGGTGGCACAGATTCTCCTGTGGAGGAAGGTGATGTGATCGTGGTTCTTAACAGCTTCCACAGCAAGATCATCAAAGTCAGGGTGTGTGCTCCTTATCGTTGCCTCTGGATCCCCATAATATGCGTGTTCCTCTGGCCAAGCACACAGTCAGGTGGCATGATTAATTCACGCCTACGGAAGTCCTCCATATTGTCTTTTGCCTGCCTGTTCCTATGTCTGAAACTTAATCTTCTTGATCATTTACATGTAATTTATTTTTCCAGGTTCAGAAAAAGCCAGACAAAATAAACGAAGAGCTCCTCAACGACGGCTCGGATACCAGAGGCCTCTGGGAGTCCGTAACTAGGTGCTGCTCCTTCTTCTTGCCTTTCGTCCCCCTAGCCATTAGCCCCTCCTCTTTGTAGAAAAGATGAGCAGCTCACGCTCCACAATGGCTGCTGTCCGTGGCCTCTGTGTGGTTAAACATATAAAGGCCAACTCATTCTTTACTGTTGTGCATGTGCTTTCTTGGGGACGTTCATGTACGCAGCAACATGCTACATTTGGCTACAAAATGCGGATGGTCACACTCGGCGCATGCATACAGCAGTGATATTCCATTCGACCAGCAGAGGGCAGATGTATTGCATTAAATACAAATACAAGCAACGTAGTCAAACAGGTAAACTTTTAGGAAGAGTTATTAGCCTAGGCTTGGGCAGCACAATGGTAATATGGTACGCAGCAGTATTCTGAAACCATTATGACCAAATTGGTTGGCCGAATTTCATCACCAATACTTCAATGTGTTTGAATAGTGCGACTTTTTAACATACCATATACCTTAGAATAATGTTTGGACAGTATGAAAATAATAATAAGATATGCGGGTACCTCCAACCCTCCTCATACAGCTGCTCACCATAACCACAACAGCAACAACAACAGCTATGCATCTGTGAAAGTCCACACTGCCACCTACTGGAAATACCTAATCAGTTATCTTGCACATGCAAGATCGGTGGGCCCGGATGTGCACCATTGCTACTAGGCATAAAAATCTGGGCTGCACCCACACTTGTCCACAGCCACCATTGATGATGAAATTTACATTATTACCCTCGTCCACAACCGAAAGTGCCCGCAGAAAAATGAAATATGAATTGGCTTTAATGGCACCCTCCGTCTAACCACTTGATCTGTGTGCTCTTCATTTACCCCTGGCTCTGTGCAGCGTGTGGAATGCTTTAGAGAGAAGGTAGGAAGCATTTCCTTGCTATCTGCTCCCATCACCCTGCAGTTGTTCAGCATCTGTTTGGGGGCTGAATTGCTCATCGATGTCCATGGTTGTATACGTCCACAATGTATATTTGTGACTTCACACTCTTTCTCCATGTCTTTCAGTATATTTGACAATTTTATGTGTTTGTTTTTTTCATTTGTTCATTTTACATTAGTTACCATATTTTAGCTTACAGAAAGCATTCCTGACAGAGTTACTGGGGAACTTGTCATGGCAGTTAAGGGGTCCTGGCATGTGGGGCAGTGAGGCTTTTCAGATGGGAGATGATGGATTTCACTAAAAAGATGATTGGCAGAAAGGGGTACTCATTCAGAAACTCCGTCCACATTGGCCGGTTGTACCATTTTCTTATCTCTTGGCTCCTTGTTACTGAAGCCAGAGGGGATCTGCTCCCAGTGATCATCAGATCTGCTATGAAATGTACTCTTTAGCAATAGGTGCTGGTAATTTCACTATTAGTTTGCTCTCGGTTCGTTCCCCCTGAGTTGAACCTCATGCTGGTTTGACCTAGTGTTGCCATAAAAGGACAGCCTTTCCAATCATAAAGTGCAAACCAACACCTGGTTTGTTCCCCTATCCTTCACAGCATCACCGGTGCCTCCTCAGAGGAAGAGGCCAAGAAGACGACCGAGGATGTTCTCAACATCTTCTCAGTGGCCTCTGGACTTCTGTACGAGCGCTTCCTGAGGTGGGCAGGTTCTCGCCTTACACTCGACTTTTGCTTGATCTCTGTCAAGCTCCCCCCGTCAGTCCTTCCCACCCCACACTTCTGTCTCTTTTCCAGAATAATGATGTGCTCTGTTCTCCAACACACCAAAACCCCTGTCAAATTCTGGTTCCTCAAGAATTACCTTTCACCTTCCTTCAAGGTAATGACCCTCCTCGCTTCCATCTCTAATTGCCAGTGCGTTTCTCTTGTCGGCTGCCTGTCGGTGTGGAGGTCACCCTAACCCTAACAATGGCAGGGTGGTTCAGGAAGGCCCTTGCTCTGTGTCCAGAATCATACACTGATCCCCATGTGCCACAAAAAATAATTAAAGAAGTCTTAATCAGAACTGTGCACAGACAAGTTTAAAGGGGCACTGCAGTGACATTTCAGGACAACCAGCATGGGCAGAAACTGTAAGACCGTGATTTAGTTAGTCAGCAATAGGTGTCTTTCTAAATCGCAAACCTACAGAGTTACTTGCATGGGAGTTTCCTGGCTTGTTAGGAATCGAACTTTTCATGCTGACAGGTGTTCAGTCCTTCTGAAGGTGCAGACGTGTCCTTTGCCTCAAGGTAGCTGGATTCTGGAAGGACACGATCCACCTTCCAGCAAGGCTGCTTTTTGCTGACGTTTTGACATCTCGCCCAGATGTGTAGGGCAGTTGAGCTTGAATTCTCTTATATCCAAACCCACTTGTTAAGCTGTTTTTCCGTGCGACAAATGTGTCCCCCTCACATTTCATAATTACTCGTTTAAACCCCCCCATATTTAACATAAAATATTGGTTTTATGCCAGTGTGTCCCCCCCCGCCATATTCAGAATGCTTCTGACGCCCCTGGCTTGAGGAACGTGGTGATGCGCGGCCCACACTAGGAAACCTTGGGACTTCAGAGGGCCAAGCTTTTCAAACGTGCCTCTTGTGTACCTAGGAGTCCATCCCCCATATGGCAGAGGCCTACGGCTTCCAGTATGAGCTGGTCCAGTACAAGTGGCCACGGTGGTTGCAGCAGCAGATTGAGAAGCAGCGAATCATCTGGGGCTACAAGATCCTTTTCCTGGACGTGCTCTTCCCCCTTGCTGTGGACAAGATCATCTTTGTAGACGCGGACCAGGTGATCTTAGCAGCGGTGTTGCTAGGCAGACTGCAAAACCTGTGCACATGCTGATCAGGTTCATATTTCCTAGTATTTGGTGATCTGGGTCCTCAGTTAGAGCTACTTACATGTGTCTGAGTGCCATGTTGTGACCCCGGCTGCTCCCTTCCCCTCAGATTGTCAGGGCTGACCTGAAGGAGCTTCGTGATCTGGACCTGCAGGGCGCCCCCTATGGTTACACGCCATTCTGCGACAGCCGCAAAGAGATGGAGGGCTATCGTTTTTGGAGGTCTGGCTACTGGGCCTCCCACCTGGGGAATAGGAAGTACCACATCAGGTAGGCGTCTCGTGTGTCGATAGAGGAGTACGTTTCCTCGCGTCTGCTCTTTTAATACAATATTTTTGTTTTTTCCATCCAAGTTGAAATAAATACAGTGCTCACATAGTCCTGGGGCGCTTGCTTAATTCAGAAAAAATGTTACAAATTTACTGGTTTCATAACAAAAGTCCATTGACAAGCAATGTGTAACATATCTGCCTAGACCCTCTACACAGACATTTTCTTTGTATTGAAAGTGCCATAATTTTTGACTGACTCATTCAGTTCTTTTCCTGCCATTTTGCTGTTAATTGCTATTGTAGGCACTGACTCCCAAAGGGGTTTCATGTTACTGCAGAGGTGTCACTAATTAAAAAGCCCCCATTGAGACTGCTTGTCAACTTTGTAACTCCGAACAGAACCATAATTTGGGTTTCAATTTACTACTACTTGAATGATTTACTTAAATCTACTGGTTGTTTTTAATGCAGTATATATTTTTTGTAATCAGATAAATAAAATAATAATTTTTCTTCTAAAACCAATAAATGTGCAATATTTTACTAAATTAAGCAATCATTTCAAGACATTCTATGAGCACTGTAAATGCCTGCCATCTTCTGTGACACTTCAAAAGGTCTGTTTTGTTTTCACATGAGATCAAAATGTTTGTCTGGTGCGTATAATTTCCCTCCTCTTCAGCATTTGCAGATTAATCAGACATCCCCCCTCCCCGAATTGTTCCAGTCACTGTTTGCTTTGAGTCCCTGATGCAGGTCATGCATGTCCTTATAGAACCTGACCAGTTATGCCCTCACAGTGCCCTGTACGTTGTGGACCTCAAGAAGTTCCGAAAGATAGCAGCTGGAGACCGACTGCGAGGCCAGTACCAAGCCCTCAGCCAGGACCCCAACAGCCTGTCCAACCTTGACCAGGTGAAGGTGTCGTGGCGGCTCGGGGAGAAGGGGCTTCTTTGCCCAAGGGCTGCCTTCCTGCTGTGGGTTCTGGTGTGGTGCCTGCTCTGTGCCTTTCAGCTAAGTGAAGGTGACCCTCTATCTGGGCTGGGGGCTTCAGAGCTGCGAGAATGCAGACCGTCGCTGGTCTCATGCTGTGACTCCCAAGGACCTGCGAGTGCTCTGTAGGGTCTCGTTTAAGATGATCAATCTGCAGCCTCTACCGTCTGTTAAAGCTTCTTTCTGGTGGAATGTTTCTAAATGGAAATTCTCTCTTATTTAATGACTTTTGTTTTCCTTTTCTGCTGTTATTAGTTTTTATAAGTCTGTTCTCTGTAGTCACCTGCTGCCTGCACAGGGTTCTCCATTGATAGGCTGTTTATCATCCCCAGGACCTCCCCAACAACATGATCCACCAGGTGGCGATAAAGTCCCTGCCCCAGGAGTGGCTCTGGTGCGAGACATGGTGCGACGACTCCTCCAAGGCGGCTGCCAAGACGATCGACTTGGTCAGTCCCTGTCACCACAAGGGGAAAACTGGGTGTGGGTGATTAAAAAAAAAAAAGGCACATTAATGTGAACCGTGTGTATGTGTGAGAAATCGGATCGGCTGCCGGCATCACCGCCCCGCCTTTCCTAATGTTGCCTGGTGTTATGGTTTCTGGCAGCTGCTAGGTTGCTGCTAATGGGCTTCTGAATGCTAGGCTCCCTGTTCACCAGTGAACTATGCCTCCCCCTGAAGGCAGAAGACTGACTGTGCTGACACTGAAACATAGAAAAATGACTAGAGAGTTTTTTGATTATCCACCCGTATGTGTAGTAGGTAGGAAATTGATAGTGTTTTCTTCAAAACTGAACATAGTTGAACTAAGATATTTTGTCAGGAGGTAAAACAAAGTCTAAGTGACCTGGTTTTGGTTATATGACCTGGTTTGATAAAATGTACATTTATGGTGCTTTGCCTTCGTACCATGCTTTCTCTGGCAGCGGAGGTCCTCTGCACATCCGCGTCAGTTAATCTTAGCGTGAGCTTGCGGTGGCTCGTCTCTCACTTAATTCCCATGGCAGCCTTCCCAGCCTCACCCATCTAAAATTCCTCACTTCCCTCCAGCGCTATGAAAGCAGGAGCAGGTCTCTCGAGGCTGCCGACCAGCTGACGTTGCTGAAATCTGCAGTCATTGACACACTTGGGCACCTGCCACCTTTTTGGGGGTCGTCTTGGGGCTGGCTGCTTATGGCCTGTTAGACATTCATTAGTGGATTGATATAGTCAATCTGTGTACAGTTTCACACCTTTCAAAAGGCTGGAAAATATATAAAGTTAAATGTTCACCCTCGAGTTAAATTATTCACTTTTGAAATGCATGAGCAGATATTAGCAGATGCTTTTCTTTGTATGTAACTGGTGCATGTTTTGAAAAGGATTCTGAGATTGATGTGGAACTATTGGCACTGAAAGTGTGTGTGAGATGCCTTTTTTTCCACTCCACATTATTAAACTGTGTTTGTGATGAAGGATTTTTATGGGGGAGTTGGGGAATTTTGGCCCAGCTTCATAGGACTTGACCATTTGGAGTGGTATCATCAGACAGCCCCGGGAATCTCATCACATTTGTGGGGAGCTTTTTTCGACTTTCGGGTTTCAGGGTATATGTGTTGACCAACCACGTCCATTCCTCCGCAGTGCAACAACCCCAAGACCAAAGAGCCCAAGCTTGCTGCTGCAATGAGGATCGTTCCGGAATGGGAGGAGTACGACCGTGAGATCAAGGAGCTGCTGAAGAGAGTCCAGAAGCAGACCGGAATCAGACCATTAGCTGACCGGGAAGGTGAGGAGCATTCTGGGAAGACCGTCACCCACGGTGCCCCTGGGGTTCAGTCACTCTGGCCTTTGGGCAGCTGGCGCTCTGCCTGTTCAGTCACGAGTGCCATACAAATGGAAATAGGATTTTGCATTAGACATTCATTATGGGATGGACATGGGGTTATGCATCTGTGAATAAGTGCAGAAATATTGGCATTTAACATGATATTCTTTGGTTCATCTTATTATCATTGTGCTTTAGTCTTTTAATTTTGGCTGTTTATTTATTTATTAAGCTGCATTTGTGGACAGAAATGATTCCTCATTCCCTTTTTTTTTGTTTTACAGCAATTCCCCGGGATGAGCTTTAGCATTGGATGTAGCTATTCTATGGAGTTATGGAAGTCAGGGAAGAATATTGCTGCTTTAGGTGAACTCTGCCAGAGAGGACCATCCCCACATTGTGAAATTGGGGTAAATAGATTATGCCAGCTGTTGCATCTCCAAAAAAAAACAAGTAAACAAGGACCACAGCCTTCAAGTTTGCGACGGAGAGGAAAGGAGCTCTTTTCATACCAGTATTGGCCTTGATACCCGTCATGACTTTTTTTAAGATGTTAATATTTTCTTTTCACAAAAGAAACATTTGCACTGCTGTTTAGAGTTTGCCTCTGTACCAGCGAGATACATTCCTAAATTATCCCACCAATTTAATAAGGCTGTGTTTTATTTGCTCCATGTTTCATTGTTTAATTATGATCCCTGAACGTTTGGTCCGACTTAAATTGTCATCGATATTTTCACCTTGGCAGGATATATTGGCACACTTGACATTTGGCTGAAAAAAAGCCCTAATTTCCAGCTCAGAGGGATGCAGGAGTGTTGATGGTCTGTTGCTGTAGACTGGACACAGTATGGAGGTCAGCAGCCTCCCCCCTATTATGGTGGTTTATTGACTGTGTCAGAAACCAACAACACACCTCTTACTGTGACCAAAAGGCAGCTTTCTCCACATCTGGAACACACTACCCTCCTGCCTGCGGCGTACCTTCAGCTATGAAATAACTTGCTCTGTTAATGAGTTTGTTGCCCTTTATACCTCAGCCAGGTATTTGGTATCAGCCAGTTAAAGCCATTTTGTCAGGTGGGTCTGTGAAATACCACAGTTAATTTGGTGCTGCACTCTATATCACTGCGCTTGGCTATGCTGGTACTATCCTTTAAGTTATGGTAAGTATAAATTATTGCCTCACAGTTTTAAAGGTCTCTTGTCCTCAGGAATAAAAATATCTGGATGAATCTTAATTAAACAAGTTAATCCAATATTTTTTATTTTTATTTGCATAGTGCATTTTCACAACATTACTTTGTGTCAAAGGCACTTCACATTATCCCTGCCCTTACAGGTCAGCACTCCAATTTCACAAGGGGGTGTGAAGCTAGAGTGACAGCACTGACAGTTCAGTTCATCCAAAGCTAATGGCACCAATCTCCATGCAGCTCTACACCTCATACTATAGGCCTAACTGGGAGTGATCAGTTACTGGCAGTGGGCATTACAGTAACCCATTCTGGAAGTTAAGGCAGATATTAGTTTTAACGCATCATGAAAGGAGAGCATCTTCTGAAGCTTGGCTATGTTCTGTAGATGGTAGAACACAGCTCTAGTAATACTTATGTGAACATTGAAAGATTGATCTGAATCTACCTGGACTCCAAGCTCTCTAACCACTAATTTAAGCTGAGTAGAAAGACCACCAAGGTTGATGTTGTCAAACTTATTTTGAGCAGCCTTGGGTCCAACCAGCAATACTTCTGTTTTTTCTGTGTTTAACATAAGGATTTTTTTGCCACCCAGCACCGGATATCTAGTAGACAGTCTTCTAACCCAGAGAGCTGTCATGCATCATCTGGTTTAACAGATATATTTATCTGTGTATCATTAGCAAAACAATGAAACCCAACACCATGATTTCTAATAATGTTACCTAGTGGTAGCATATATGTAGTGAACAGTAGCGGGTCTAGCACTGATCCCTGTGGGACACCATATTTGACTTTAGTGGACGTAGAAGATTCATCGTTCAAGCAGACAAACTGATAATGTTCAGTTAAATATTAGCGAAGCTAAGACAGCTTCTTCCAGGATCTTTGACTTGAAAGGAAGATTTGAGATATCAATGGGTTCAAGATTTAGTTTCTTTTGAACAGGTCTAATAACATGATTCAAATGTGTCATTATCAGTATGAACTGGGCTAGCAGAAGGCTGGTAGCTGTATTTAGCTACAGATGTGCATTGGATGGTCTGTCTAATCTGTTATTTTACCATTAAAATGATAAATTCATCACTCTTAAGAGCTTGTAGGACTTGTGAGTTTAGCATTGAAGAATTCTGTGTTAAGTTAGATGGATTCAAACAGGAGTTTAGGATTGTTTTTGTTCTCTTCAGTTATTCTGGAGAGGTACACAGATCTTAGAGTCACTAGTGCTTATCTGTACTTAGAGTGACTCTCTTTCCAGGCAGATCTGAAAACTTCTAGTTTCATTGAGCATCATTTGCACTCCTAGCTTGCATGAAGCATGTTTAAGTTCACATGTATAATCAGGCTACCAGGGGGCAGGTATCTCATCTTTGTGCTTTATTTTTTAAGTGGAGTTACAAGACCTAGAGTGCTGCGAAACGATTTCACCATGTTCATGGTTACCTGTGCAAGTTAATTTTCACATGACGGTTCAGATGTAAGGTTGAAGGACTGATTGCTCGCCTTTTGAATGTTCTGCATAGTCTCACTTTCAGGGGTGCTGATGAGATTTCCCACAATCCTCTGTGTCAGCATGTCCAAGCAAAACCTGTCTGTGATACCACTGCTGGTGGGCTGGGAGCAGTACTTTACTAACCCCAAAGCTTTATTTTTCTGAAACTACCGAGAACATTGTATCTTTACTTCAGGGTCTTCATGATCTGCCCTTTTAAGTGCAAACATGGCCTATTGTGTTCTGATTCTGAGAGGTGCTGTTTCTCGTGGCTGTCCCTTTTCTTATTAAACCACGACCTCAAGCCTTTCACTAACACCGCTACCTGTTGGGTAGGTGTTGTGAGTGAATTTGCATATAGAGGGTGACCTCCTGGAGTGTGAGGATCCTGCAACAGGGATGGGACAAAATAAGATAAGTTGTAGATTTCCCATGAGAGCAAATGGTAACTCAGTCACTTCTCTGACCATTGTAAGTTCCTGTTACTTCATTATCCTAGTGGTGCCGACTGGAACCCCCCATTCTATTCCTGACTTTCCCATGATCATAAATTGCTGACACTGTCTGTATACAAATGATCAACTAAGAACATTGGGGGATCTTTAATACTTTTCCTTACAAGCCAAACTAACTGCTTTATTCATGTTAAAATTACCATCAAGCTAGGTATAATGTCTATTCATTTCCACCAATATCTCTCAAAACAGCACTGATTTTGTATAATGTACATAATTTGGCAACCTTAGCAATGGAGAGTTAATTGACTTTAAATAATTTTGTCATAATGGAAAAGAAATTGTGAGCTGGGATGTTAGCGAGCAAGGTTTATCCGGGAATCTGAGGAAAGCTGAGTTATTTCATGCCTTGCTCCTGTTATTTAAAATAGGCTCTGGACCCTCTGACCATGTACAGGGCAAGTGGTGAAAGAAAATGAATAATTGAATGAATGAACGAACAAATAATGTGGGATTTTTGTGTCTGCTATAAGAACCCTTTACCACTAGATGGGACTAGTCATTGCGATCAGCTGCAATTAACAGATCTGTTAGATGATTAACAATTTTGCCAATTTTTATGCTACTTATTTCCATGGTGCAATGTCTCAAAGGTACAGCTTCCAGTAGGATCAACATTGTTAAATCACAAGAATATATCCGAGTTCTGTCCCAAGTCCTGGGGGCTTCTAGCTATTGAAAAGATAAAAAGGGGCTAAGTCAAGTTTGCCTGGGGCTTGTTTTTCTTTTTCTTTCTTTTTTTGAAGGAAGATTGGCATCAGGGCTAAAATACTCCAGGCTATGCTTAAAAAACTTGGGGCTATAGTCCCGAGTGATTGGACCTAATACCGTCCATGCCCATGCCCATGCCGATGCCCCTCAAATACTACCCGTGTAAGACAGACCATCTCCAATTGGACCTGCTAACATAACAGGCTGATTTGGCTTCAATTTAATGTTATTAGATTTAGAAACATAGGATAAATATGATGATATGAGATATTATGTATTAGCCATGCAAGAAAGTGTTTCCTGAGCTAATGAAGCTACAAATACATCATTAATATCTCCTGATAAATACTACAAATTTATTATGATGATAATAGTAATAGTATGGTAATAATTTATTAAAACTGCACACACAACCTTGCAGGCTTCATAGTGGGGGACTCAGGCTGACCTTCCAGAGATTATTTTCTGATTAAGTCTATTAGAGAGAATGTGGATTGGTGTTTTATATCCATACATGCCTGGATAAGGTCTGGAGGACTCTACATGCCCCAGCAGACCCCACGCACACCCCGGCAGACACTGTGTACCCTAGAGGACACCACACACCCCAGTGGACGCCACGCACCTCGGAGGACACTGCATGCCCTGACGGACACCATGCACCCCGGAGGACACTGCATGCCCTGACGGACACCATGCACCCCGGAGGACACTGCATGCCCTGACGGACACCATGCACCCCGGAGGACACTGCATGCCCTGACGGACACCATGCACCCCGGAGGACACTGCATGCCCTGACGGACACCATGCACCCCGGAGGACACTGCATGCCCTGACGGACACCATGCACCCCGGAGGACACTGCATGCCCCAGTGGACACTGCATGCCTCGTTGGACACCACACACCCCAGCAGACATCATGCACCCCGGAGGACACCGCACACCCCAGCGGACGCCACACACCCCAGCAGACATCATGCATCCCGGAGGCCACTGCATGCCCCGACGGCCACTATGCACCCTTGTGGATGCCACGCACCCGGGAGGACATCGTGCACCCCAGAGGACACCACACACCCCAGCGCACACTGCATGCCCCGGTGGACACCGCACACCCCATATGCTGATTTCATGCCAGCATGCTGTGGGAGGGGCATGGCTAGGATTGTGATAAAAAATTGTACAAGGAAACGTATAAAGAAGACTTCTAGGTTTTTCTGTCACCCGAGCCCCTCCCCACAACACTGCATATTTAGCTCTTAATCAGCCTGTCTCAGTCCACCAGGGGGAGCCATCTGGGACTTAAACAGCTCAAAATGTTTAGCTTCCTCATCTATAAACTTGCATATGTAGAAAAACCCAAATCAACAGGTAATGGATCGAACAGGCTTAACCATCAGTAACAGGCAACACCTGCTGATTTAGCCAAATCCAGAAAAAATTACTGCTCATGAATTTCTTTGTATACCTCCAATTTTAGGTGCTAAATGTTATAGTGCATACACAGGTAAGATCTGAAAAGTTACTGATTTGGAACAATGCTATCCAGTGTGTATCTGATCCCTTATAGAATCTCCATGATTTCAAAAGAAGCAAAGAGAAACAGAGGTACAGAGTTACTGGAACATGCCAGAGAAATCCGGGGGGGTTCTGTAGGGCGGGGCTCAAGCTATTTGTCAGCACAGAAACTCCCCCTGGGCACAGGAGAGGTCCTGCCCACAAATCCTTCTTGGCCTGGTGTTTTTCACCCTCCTTGCAACAGCAGCAGTGCTATTAGCTTTCCAGCCTCCCACAAAGTCCCCCCCCCTCTCCCTCGCCCTCTCTCTCTTTCTCTCTCTCTCCCCCCCACCACTATTACCTCTGCAGCAGTGCTATTAGCTTTCCAGCCTCCCACAAAGTGTCCCCCCTCTCTCTCTCCCCCCACCATCTCTGCAGCAGTGCTATTAGCTTTCCAGCCTCCCACAAAGTGTCCCCCCCTCTCTCTTTCTCTCTCTCTCTCTCTCTCTCTCTCTCCGTCTCTGCAGCAGACATGTGCATGTATCAAGTGAGCACTGGTGGCTCTAGGCTCTAGGGGGTGAGAGACCCAACCAGTCATTGATCCAGATAAATACATTAATAAAAAAATACAAGATTACAATAAATTATTATTATACATTTCTAATTATTACAGTAAATTGTTGTACATTGATATGACTAACACATGGCATAATTTCAAATATAAATTTACATTATGTTTTCATTTTATTGAACCTAATATCTTCAAGTTAATTTTTATCTGACCAACAGGGGGAGCAATTGCACCCCTGGTAAAATCACCTATGCTAACTTAAGTTCTAGGAACGCCCAAGCTGCCACGCCTGTACCAGTGTCTGGATTCCTGGCTGTAGCTGTATGCCTTTTCCCTGGCACCGCCTACCCAGCCTTGCTGGGCCCATCGCCAATGTTTCGTGGTGAGGTGGAAATGTGCCTGGGTGGTAATTATGATTCTTATAATTGTGATTCAGAGTGATGGTGAGGCCCAGTCTGGAATCCATGAAATAGAAAGCCTTGTGCTTCATCAGAAGGGACTGTAGTTTAAGAATAAGGCAATGCTTAATGAGTTAAACATGTGAATGGACTTTTCCTCATTTATATTATTGAACCAAATGATAGAGTTGAGAAATCCATAAGGAACATCAGATGGCAAGTACTGCTCACCTGGAAGTAACAATGAAGACCCAAAGCGCCCCCTCCCCGCATTCACTGACCTGGAGTGTGTGTCTCAACAGCTCCTGTTGGTTGGACTTAATCCGTTGCATGGCTCAGTCTGGAACCACAGCACTGTGACAGGGACCACGGCACTCTGACCAGGACTCCAGTGCTTTGACAGGACCACAATGGCCCAGCTCTCCAGCAGGGATTGACAGGGACCACAGCAATCCAACAGGGACCACAGCACTCCCATGGGGACCACAGTGCTCTGACAGGGACTGCAGCCCTCCAAGAGGTTCCACAGCACTTCAATGTGGACTAACAGAGACCACAGTGCTCTCACCAGGGCTACAGCACTCTGATGGGGACTGACAGAGGCCACAGTGCTCTGATGAGGACTGACAGAGACCACAGCACTCCGTTGGGGACTGATGGGGACCACAGCGCTCTGATGGGGACTGACGGAGGCCACAGTGCTCCGATGGGGACTTATGGGGACCACAACGTCTTGATGGAGACTTTCAGAGACTGCAGCGCTCTGATGGGGACTGGCAGAGACCACAGCACTCCAATGGGGACCACAGCGCTCTGATGGGGAGTGACGGGGACCACAGCATCCTGATGGGGACTGAAAGAGACCGCAGTGCTCTGATGGGGACTGGCAGAGACCACAGCACTCC